ACACATATTTTATATATATATATATATATATATATATATATATATATATATATATATATATATATATATATATATATATATATATATATATATATAAAGAAAAAATATAGATTTTGTTTACAACGTTAACAGACCTTAACAGCGCGCTAATTCAAAGTTAAAAGATGAACAATATTATTGACTATTATTTGATAATGAATTAAAGATCCAAACTTACGTTAATAAAACTGTAATATTGAAATATATATTCTTGTATTCAAAGACATGTGTAATTTTTTAACTTTTCCGTGCGACCGTGCTATATGGCATGGTAGAAAAGACGGGTACCGGGTACATGGGTTAATGGGCAAATGGGTAGATGGGTAAATGGGTAGATAGGTACCGGGTAGATGGGTACCGGATAAACGGTACGTTCAATGCATTTTTAACATTTTTAATACGCTGAAATTAAAGTTCAATTAAACACAGCCTTCAACTCATCATTAATAGTAAGCTATATTGGACAGCCATGGTGTATCCCTTGCCGTATCCTATTATCTAGTCGCACTCAAACTTATAGCAACTATATACAACTTATAGCAACTGGCTTAATTTTACATCCGCAGATTTAATCTAATCAAACGTAATGATTTATTAAATTTAAACTCCCAAATCCAATGCAAAAATTAATTACGCGCTGTTTACATTAAACAATTTAACATGCACCATCGGATGTTTTTACTGTTTTAGACGTCATAATTTACTGAGTTAAACCAACACGGTATTGCATGCAGAGTTGCTACCAGGTAAATCCTAAATATATTGGCATTTTACCGCTAATAAACATGATGCCAAACAGAAGTTGTTCAAAAATCATTGCAAATATTTCAAAACTATTATTGATACTGTAGCTATTAGTGCACTGTGCCTGTGTGCCACATTGCTGATTTTTTGCACTCTATTATAGCTATACTAATCATTCCTGCCTGAGTTTAAAATATTACGGAGTTTTTAGTATTTTTCTGACGCCATGCAGAAAAACTATACAGCACGCAGTTCAAACGCGCGGGACTTGTTTATCATACAGTAGTGCCTACAAAAAGAACCTATAAAATATTGAAAAAAACTGGCCAAATGGCTTTGCAAGACACACCCAAAATATAGCCAAAACCACCCATGTGCGGTCTCCTTGCTTAAAAATATAGAGTTTGAGCAAGACTACGAAGTACGAAGACGTACTTGACAATTTTTGCCGTCTGCACATTACCTTGCGCATACTGAGTTGGACGTCACTGGTGGTTGTTCAACGTGTTTTCCCATCAAAAACAGCGAGACATGAAACTATATCCCTGTCTTTGTCCTTCTGCCTTCGTTCGGAACGAAGATCACAACGAATTTTGCCAAAATATTCGTTGTAAACGAAGGCAGAAGAACGAAGACGGATTCATGTCTCGCTGTTTTATCCTGATCAGGGTAAGGATTTGGGTCAGCATTCATAAACAGCAAGACACGAATCTCTAATCTGTCTTCACCCTTGACCCTAAACTCAGAATGCGCAAGATAATGTGCAAGACAGGCACGAACTGTCAACCACGTCGTCGTCGTCCGACTTCGTTCTCTTTCTCAAACTCTCTTTTCACATTCCTTAATTACGTGTTCCGACTTTCTCGTCTTCAGGGATCTTCCTGTTTCGCCTATGTAACTCCAACTGCAATCTTGACACGGTATATGGTAGACCACGTTCTTTTGTTCTTCTGTTGGTGGTTTCTCAGTTTCTGTTTTGACGATCAGTTTTTAAAAATAGGACCGAAGGTCAAGTAATTACGAAAGTTCTCTTGCTCAAACTCTCTATAACCGCCTCACAGACATAAAGGAATTTCAATGTCACGACTAGCATGCTTGATTTTAAAATAGGATAAAGCGCTTATACAGACATATTTTTAAGTCTCTGTAGTTTGAATTTGTCAAGATTGATATCCATTCATAAAAATTCAAAGTAAAATTGCTTCAAATATTGAAACTAAACGATAAACCATTTTACCTATTTTAAAATCAAACGTGCTTTAATAGTCGCGGCACTGAGACATAAAGATGTCTGTGAGGCGGTGCAATCTCGTTCCCCGAGCCTGCGATCCTCGGGAAGGAACGCGAGGCTCTGGGATAATCCGTTGCCGGAAGCAAGGAATCCTGGCTAAGATTGAACTACGCATTCCATTTCAACGGCCAATCAGATTCCTCCCTGAAACGGATTATCCCAGAGCCTCACGTTCCTTCCCGAGGATCGCAGGCTCGGGGAACGAGATTGTGAGGCGGTGCTGTTACGTTTGTGGGCGGTGCCGTGATATATTTTTAAGCAAGGAAACCGCACCTGGGTGGTTTTGGCAAAGGGTTTTGGCTATATTTTTGGTGTGTCTTGCAAAGCCATTTGTGCAGATTTTTCAATATTTTATAGCTTATTTTTGTAGGCACTACTGCATGAAAAACAATTATATAATAACTACAGTGAAACACGCAATTTGATTGGTCAATAGCCGTGCAGGATCAGGCTATCCTGCACGAGGAATTAAAATGCCTTCGCGGGATTTTCGCGGGATTCTCAAAATGTCATTGTTTCACTGTAGTTATTTTATAAAACAATTACCACTAATGGTTTTCCAAGCGGGATAGCGTGATCCATGCACTTGGGATGTTGCTCGACTTTCGGAAAGCGTAAAAATACACTCGCCTGCGGGCAATTTATTGAATACTTCCGAACGCCACATACACATGAAATGTTTCGGTCTACCTTTAAGGGCCACGAACATATACTAGGTCTAGGAGATAAAATAGCAAAATTTGAGGCTCGAGCGTTGCCGCCGTTGGCCACTAATTATACAGGCACTGCAGCGTAAAATTTATAGCTCAATATGTTTGTATCAGACGTGTGCAATCGACATAGTTATTCGCGACGTTCATGATAGGGACTATAACACTTCCAAAGCTAATAAACCTATATCCTATAACTTAAGACATTTTATCATCAAACAATACATTTATACTCAATAGGCTTATTACTATACGAAACGGAAAAATAATCAAACATTTACTTGTTATACTATAGATAACAGCAAGATAAGAAATTATTTTATTACTGGAGATTTGTTGCGTTAAACTTTCCTGTATTTATCTAGTGCATAAATGGAAAAGTACGAAAAACATATTAAAAATAAAAATAATATCTTCGTGAAAAAATGCGTTTTTAGCACATTTTATGACCCACGACTTTACCCACGACACACGACTATTAACCCACGACACACGACTATTAACACACGACAAATAGGGACACTCCCTAATGGCATGTACAAGAGACCTGAAATCGGAACGATAATTCAATGTGCGCTCCACATTCTCAAATTTCACCCTTCCCATGCGCACGAAAGGAGAAAATAAGAAATAGCGCAAGTCTGAGCGTGCTTACGAATTCCGATCACATTTCCATGCGAACGATTTCCACAATGTTCCGAATCGTTTCAATAGTTTCTTTGATCAAATTACGCAAATATTTAAAACACCCACCGCAACAGGTTATTGAATTTCTGATGCGTTCAAAACATGTGCCGAACTCACGTGCCACGTGTGATGCGGCTCAAACATCCGTGTGCCATAAGTAGGTAGGTGGAATAATCCTTGTACACATTAAACTTAGAGATAGCATTTACCGATGAGGACCGAGATTATTTTCTCCGCAGATCAGGCTCACAAATCCAGCACAAGATTGCTTCTATTTTTTCGTATACATATATATATACGCGAACAACATAAAACATATACGTGTACAACATATAATATACGTACGATGTTATCCTATCAATTTATGGGAAAGCAAAAGAAACAACAGTGCAATTCACTTGGTAATAATTCGGTAAAGATACGGCGGGTTGATAAAGCATTTGAACCGTACCGACAGGCTTTCATCCATGGCGATATACAACAACAGAGTTATATAATCAACGAGTTTGTGTCGAGTTTAGTAGCAGCTGAGTATGCCAAATTAACCGAAGAACGGGGGTATTGTATGGAGAAATGCTTACCAATCGAAGAGATATTTACATGCAATTTGTGTCGAGAGCTATTGCATGTTCCTGTGACGTTAGTATGCGGGCATACATTTTGTTTGGAATGTTTAGGAAACTATGAGCGCGAAGGTCGGACAATGTGCCCAGGTTGTGGACAAGAGTCAAATCTTCACTACACATCAAACATCGTTGTACGAGAACTATCGCGAATATGCTTCCCCGAGAAAACCTCCATACGAAATTGTATCGTCGAAGCCAATAACCTACTCCGCGAGAGAAAAATGGAAGAATTTATGGAGTTAACAAAAAATCTCTTGACAAAATACCCAGAAAACGTTGATCTCTTGCACTTACGTGCGAACGGGTATCAATGCCTGAAAAGTTACAGTGACGCTCTAAATGTCTTAGATTTTGCATGTACACTTGCACCATTTTGTACTAAAGTTTTATACGCTCGAGGAGAACTGTTGGCAAGCATTGATGAGCCCGAGGAGGCAATGGTAATGTTCCTTCGTGCCTCTGCTTTGAAACCAAACGACCTCACTTACCGCGGTAGATTGACTTCGTGTCTTGAGAAACCTTTAAGAAATATCTGCAATTCAAGCGAACTGTGTTCCCCCAGCTCGTCCTACAACGCTGATCATGAAGCTACCACTAAAAGAGTATTAAAAGGTTTGCCTGTAAAATCCGAGCCAAATTTCGACGAATCTACCACGACGGCGCAAAATATGTCAAGGAGAAGGCCAGCTTGTATAAATGAAGATGGTCAAGTTGGACATAGAAATGTAGCAGTTACAATGAACTCAAATGAACATGCTTTTACAACCGACTCCACTGATCACAGAGGCGACCCAACGTGTAGAACCGACGCAACAGAGAAAACCGTCGATACTTTGATGGATCAAGACCGTTCATGTTATAAAAAAGAAGAAACAAAGAATATCTCACAATGTCAGCGAGTTAGTTGTATTCAAAGAAATATCATAGTCCCACCAAAATCCAATATTCCAAGTGAACTAGAATGTAAACTGTGTTTCAATCTACTCTACGAACCTGTTACCACATCATGCGGCCACTCTTTTTGTCGAGCCTGTCTAGAACGTTGTCTTGATCACCGATTTCATTGCCCGTGTTGTCGGACGAACCTACAGAGCTATCTGGAACATTTCATCATGAAAAACGTGGGAACATGTAAGGTGTTGGAGAGTCTATGTCTGTTGAAGTTTAAGGACGAATATCAAACCAGAAGACTAGCTTACGAAAAAGAACTTTTGGACTTCTCAAGGTAAGATGTCCCATGTTTCATTGTTTCAGAACGCATATTATAATGAGAAATCTGTTGTCCTAGCTGTAACGACTGGTTGACATTACAGACTACAGTTTCCTTGTTCAAACCAGTTTGTATACAGTGTATAGGGAATTTCAAGCTCTCGATTAACAAAATAAAAGTCTGAGTTAGTCCTCCAACTACCGAACTACGTTTTACTTTAAATAGATCACATGATAGTGTTGGGAAAGCATTTATATACTGCATCGTGCGACTGCCAATTCTCATCGCCGGCAAATCTCATCCTCGATTGATCCGCGCGCGCGTGCTTTACGCAATTAACATAAATTGCTTTTTTCATCAAAACATATGCAAAATGTTATGTAATCGGCAGCCGATTATGCATGTATTATCATTGATGATGAATAATTCAAACCATTGGCATTGGCATTGCTATAAATTCTTGAAATGCTATTTGTTAATGCGAATGTTTGTCACGTATTTTTTCAAATAGCATTTAATATTAAAGCTGAATCGGCCCGATTAATCGTTGAAGTAGATCTGTACCTCTGGTGAAGTCGATTGCTAACCTCACATTGTCAAACCGGTTTGGAAAATCAACAAACAAACGGTCTAAAATAGTAACTCTTCCTAAAACGTGACACGTTTGGAAGTCACGCGACTTTCATTATGGTTGTTTGAAATGTCCCCTGTATATAAATAATGCGTGACTCTCGTATATCCTCTGACATGCATGGGCTTAATATGTATTTACACATTTCCTGAGATGACAATAGAGTATTATAAATTGAACGGAAAAGTTTAAATCTTTCTAAATTTTATATTAGTACTAATTACCTCAACAAACCCACATTAAATCATACAGAAAACCGAATTCTGTCCTTTTATTGAATTGGTTATTTCGTCAGTGAAGGGTTTAAACTGTTCCGTCATTCACGCACGTGTCAAAAGAGAAACATGCTCACTCACGTGTTGCGATCACGCGTATGCTAATATTATGGTTATCAAGTATATGGGGGAGGGCGGCTTGATTGATTAAAACAATATTGGTACACGGCAACTTGAACGGACATCTTGCAAAACATCTGACATATTATTATGATTTTGTTAAACCATAGTCTTTCAAAACATGGTTTGGAAACTCCGCTGAAGTCTTTGTTCTATCTTTTTGTTCGCGTTTATGCAGTTTTGTGCACGGTGAATGAACACATTGTATTTCAGTATAATGAACGAATCATCCAATAGCAATGTTTCAGTTCAGTCATTCAACCATGCTATTTAAATATTAATAAACCTAAAACAAAGGATGTGCACGGTGTAAGGTACAGCTCAGCATAAAATCCCAGCTCATTATAGCCGCTTTGAAGACTTGAAGTTCACTGAGTTTCCAGACCATATCTCGAAAGACTATATGGTTAAACTGTGACTGACTGTCTGTCGGCATGTTAGAATAATATGTGTTGGGGGTTCAACATGTCTTTGCTTCTAGTCAGTTTATTCGAATATTTGATCCATATTATATATATTGTCTTTTTATTTTTTGACATAACCTACATACTGTTTATGTTTTACCATGCACTATTTTAAATTTACAGATGTTATACACTCTAAAAACACTCTGGTTAAATTTGGGTTAATTCAACCAGTACGGGGTTAAAAATCCACCTACACAAGTCTGGTTAAAAAAACCCCACCATTTTCCTGGTTAAAAGTCCAAAAAAGTGTACCAAATTTTTGTTGAATTGATAATTTTTAACCAGGAAATGGGTTAAATTTAACCAGAATGTGTTGGGTGGATTATTAACCCAATTCCTGGTTGAATTTAACCAGAGTGTTTTTAGAGTGTATGAGCTAGTGACATTTATAGCAGCCCAAATAAAAAATAACCAAGTGACCAGACCAGAGATATCTTATATACACTAGATAGCGCATCTCTTTAGTAAAATTGAAGCCAAGAATATTCCAGCGGTTACCCCCATTTGAATAGATGGCGACAATGTTGAAGTTTCCCACTCGCTAATAAACGCTTAAAAAACAACAATAACTTTCATGATTTGAATAGTTTGAAAATGTATTTGGAATAGGTTTAACTTAATGTTTAACTTTCCTGTTTAAGAAATAGAAAACATACGAGTCTTCTTCTTATTTCATGGAATATCCTGGGTCTGCTATCACGCCATTCACGGCTTCAATTTTTGAATTGCAGAATAATTAGATGCACTATCTAGTGTATATAAGATATCTATGGACCAGACAGCCGGCAGTCACTTCGTATTTTGTAGTAATATACAAACTTTTGTTTGTGGTAGATTTCAGCGAGCTTGCCGTTTATAGCGTATACGCTAAAGGCGCTGGGTCCGACCCTGAGTGTTTATTGTCTGACTTGGCTTTTTTTTTCTCTTAAAATTTGTTTAATTTCTTTTTTCTGCCTTGTTTAACTCGTTTAATTTTAAAAAGTTTTAATAATCTGTTTGAATATTGATTTGAGTTACAAACTCAACCGCTGATAATCCTAATTCAGTAATTGTGGGCACTGACAAAGAATGCCCAGGATGTAGTAAAATCCTTATAAATAAGGAGGTATATAATATGAAACTATATGTGATTCTCTTTATTTCATTTCTTATAGATGCGAAAGCAACAAGGATGAGATACCGATATTCGTATGCACACTGGCAGTGCCCGACATTGCTTGTCCTCTGCATATATTTGAACCTCGCTACAAGCTCATGATACGGCGGTGCATCGAAAGCGGTTCGCGACAATTTGGCATGTGCGCTCCAGATCCCGAGCAAACTTTTGCGACGGTTGGAACAATGTTACATATAAACGACGTCAATTTCTTGCCCGATGGAAGGTCTGTTGTTCACACGGTTGGCAGCAGGCGCTTTCAAGTTTTGGAGCGAGGGTTACAAGATGGCTACAACACTGCCAAGGTTGCTTGGCTTCAGGATGAGTGTGATGAGAGCGACTACACTAAACTCAATTGCGAAGTCTACAACATGATGATACAATGGTTTGAAAAGCTACCGAGTGAGCAGAAGATATGCATTGTGAAAGCAGTTGGGCGGTTGCCTGATGCACTCCAGGGAACAAATGAGAATGGCCCCAGCTGGTTATGGTGGCTGTTGGTTGCGATGCCTTTGAACCACGAGGCAAAACAGATCATCTTGTCTATGACATCGATCACTGAACGTTTAAACAGTGCAAAACGGTTCTTAGCAATATTGTTAAGCCGACTGTAATGGACGGAGGAGCACTCGACAACGAAATTTTGCTTGCGATCGTGGTCCCTGGCCATGTTAGGCTATTACATTTAATACCCAACCCCACCCTGTCGAGGACCTCGATTTCCAAGGGGGTTAATTAGTCATTTTCCCACATGGGTAATCAAAGAGAATGGTTAAAGTTAAAAAATGAACTTCCACAAGGGGTTCAAGTCTCTTCCAGAAGGGTCAAATACACAGATTTGTTTGTATTGCTGAGGGGTAAAACTCCCCAAAGCAGAGGTCCTCGACAGGGGGGTTGGTTTTTAAATGTAATAGCTAAACGTCACTTCGCCGGGATCATATAAGCTTGTAGTTTTATATGCACAATATTATAACGCCTTATATATATATAAGATTTGGTTTCGTTGGTTATAAAAACTTTTGGTAAAGTGCTCAATGGAAAACCAGAGCATATTTAAATTAAGGTACAACAATCAACAAAATCCACTAGGCATCTTTATTACTAGTTTCGTACCACAAAATGTGGCACTCTTCAGATAATTTATCTGAAGAGTGCCACATTTCGTGGTACGAAACTATTTAGTAATAAAGATGCCTAGTGGATTTTGTTGATTGTTGTACCTTAATTTATTTATATATATATATATATATATGTATATATATATATATATATATATATATATATATATATAGAATGGTAGAAAAGACGGGTACCGGGTAAATGGGTTAATGGGTACCGGGTAAATGGGTAGATGGGTAAATGGGTAGATGCGGGGTAAATGGGTAGATAGGTACCGGGTAGATGGGTACCGGATAAACGGTACGTTCAAAGCGTTTTTAACATTTTTAATATGCTGAAATTAAAGTTCAATTAAACACAGCCTTCAACTCATCATTAATAGTAAGCTATATTGGACAGCCTTGGTGCATCTCTTGTATCCTATTATCTAGTCGCATTGAAACTTATAGCAACTATATACAACTTATAGTAACTGGCTTAATTTTACATCCGCAGATTTAATCCTAATCAAACGTAATGATTTATTAAATTTAAACTCCCAAAACCAATGCAAAAAATTAATTACGCGCTGTTTACATTAAACAACATGTACCATCGGATGTTTTTACTGTTTTAGACGTCATAATTTAAACCAACACCGTATTGCATGCAGAGTTGCTACCAGGTAAATCCTAAATATATCTGGCATTTTACCGCTAATAAACATGATGCCAAACAGAAGTTGTTCAAAAATCATTGCAAATATTTCAAAACTATTATTAATACTGTAGCTATTAGTGCACTGTGCCTGTGTGCCACATTGCTGATTTTTTGCACTCTATTATAGCTATACTAATCATTCCTGCCTGAGTTTAAAATATTATGGAGTTTTTAGTATTTTTCTGACGCCATGCAGAAAAACTATACAGCACGCAGTTCAAACGCGCGAGACTTGTTTATCATACAGTAGTGCCTACAAAAAGAACCTATAAAATATTGAAAAAAAAACGGCCAAATGGCTTTGCAAGACACACCCAAAATATAGCCAAAACCACCCATGTGCGGTCTCCTTGCTTAAAAATATGGAGAGTTTGAGCAAGACTACGAAGTACGAAGACGTACTTGACAATTTTTGCCGTCTGCACATTACCTTGCGCATACTGAGTTGGACGTCACTGGTGGTTGTTCAACGTGTCTTCCCATGTGTCGCTGTTTATGAATACTGACCCTAATTCTTGCCCTGACCCAGACAAAAAACAGCGAGACATGAAACTATATCCCGTCTTTGTCCTTCTGCCTTCGTTCGGAACGAAGATCACAACGAATTTTGCCAAAATATTCGTTGTGAACGAAGGCAGAAGAACGAAGACGGATTCATGTCTCGCTGTTTTATCCTGATCAGGGTAAGGATTTGGGTCAGCATTCATAAACAGCAAGACACGAATCTCTAATCTGTCTTCACCCTTGACCCTAAACTCAGAATGCGCAAGATAATGTGCAAGACAGGCACGAACTGTCAACCACGTCGTCGTCGTCCGACTTCGTTCTCTTTCTCAAACTCTCTTTTCACATTCCTTAATTACGTGTTCCGACTTTCTCGTCTTCAGGGATCTTCCTGTTTCGCCTATGTAACTCCAACTGCAATCTTGACACGGTATATGGTAGACCACGTTCTTTTGTTCTTCTATTGGTGGTTTCTCAGTTTCTGTTTTGAGGATCAGTTTTTAAAAATAGGACCGAAGGTGAAGTAATTATGAAAGTTCTCTTGCTCAAACTCTCTATAACCGCCTCACAGACATAAAGGAATTTCAATGTCACGACTAGCATGCTTGATTTTAAAATAGGATAAAGCGCTTATATAGACATATTTTTAAGGCTCTGTAGTTTGAATTTGTCAAGATTGATATCCATTCATAAAAATTCAAAGTAAAATTGCTTCAAATATTGAAACTAAACGATAAACCATTTTACCTATTTTAAAATCAAACGTGCTTTAATAGTCGCGGCACTGAGACATAAAGATGTCTGTGAGGCGGTGCAATCTCGTTCCCCGAGTCTGCGATCCTCGGGAAGGAACGCGAGGCTCTGGGATAATCCGTTGCCGGAAGCCAGGAATCCCGGCTAAGATTGAACTACGCATTCCATTTCAACGGCCAATCAGATTCCTCCCTGAAACGGATTATCCCAGAGCCTCACGTTCCTTCCCGAGGATCGCAGGCTCAGGGAACGAGATTGTGAGGCGGTGCTGTTACGTTTGTGGGCGGTGCCGTGATATATTTTTAAGCAAGGAAACCGCACATGGGTGGTTTTGGCATAGGGTTTTGGCTATATTTTGGGTGTGTCTTGCAAAGCCATTTGTGCAGATTTTTCAATATTTTATAGGTTACTTTTGTAGGGACTACTGTATGAAAAACAATTATATAATAACTACAGTGAAACACGCAATTTGATTGGTCAATAGCCGTGCAGGATCAGGCTATCCTGCACGAGAATTAAAATGCATTCGCGGGATTTTCGCGGGATTCTCAAAATGTCATTGTTTCACTGTAGTTATTTTATAAAACAATTACCAAATGGTTTTCCAAGCGGGATAGCGTGATCCATGCATGCACTTGGGATGTTGCTCGACTTTCGGAAAGCGTAAAAATACACTCGCCTGCGGGCAATTTATGGAATACTTCCGAATGCCACATACACATGAAATGTTTCGGTCTACCTTTAAGGGCCACGAACATATACTAGGTCTAGGAGATAAAATAGCAAAATTTGAGGCCACTAATTATACAGGCACTGCAGCGTAAAATTTATAGCTCAGTATGTTTGTATCAGACATATGCAATCGACATAGTCAGTTCGCGACGTTCATGATAGGGACTATAACACTTCCAAAGCTAATAAACCTATATCCTATAACTTAAGACATTTTATCATCAAACAATACATTTATACTCTATAGGCTTATTACTATACGAAACGGAAACATAATCAAACATTTACTTGTTACACTGGCCTGTAGGCCAAGTGTCTTAAATCCCTCTTTTTCTGTTTTTTCCGTACTCGAGAAATGGAGTTTGCGTTAGTTCATCGCAGGCTCACCTCGGCGTATAGTAATAAGCTCGTATTTATGTACGTAATAGTCGACTCATGCTTGTGGTAACACCGCGGAAAAACGTCTGCGCATGTGTCAACCTTACCTGTAATAGAATTGCGAACTTGATGAGAAGCTGTTCCGAACGTTTCCGAAGGCTCAAAATGGCGGTAAAAAGGAGTGACTTCATTGTGCGTCTTTACAGCCAGATTTCGAGCGCAATAATAAACATGTCATTCTAAAAACTAGGAATAAATACAGCCAGAAGGTTCAAAAAATTGTATTGCACAAGAACATGAACTAAAGGTAATTGTTGACAAATTTATCGTCTGAAACATTTTGTTTATCAACTAAGCAACGACAATTTCCGAATTTTCGTTTGAGATACATTTCTTTAAAAAAAACTGTGTCGCCAAATATAAAAAAATTTTCGTGTTCACAATAATTAAACTTCAGGATTTATTCTACAATTTGAGTGGGTTAAGAAGCTTAACTTTTCGAGAGTTTTCTTAACTTTTTAGTTTGAATTTTTGTTTTGAATAATTTTGCAAAAACTTTCGAAGTCGTGTCCGTTAAAATCAACAATTTTTTGCATGAATTATATTTCATTCCATACTTTAAATGTCAGGACGCTTTCAATTAATGTCTAATCTACCCATTTGCTATATTTTCTCGTTTGTTTTACTACTTTTTGACCTATTAATAAGCATGTTTTTGTTTTAGAAATTGATATTCAAATTCCCCGCCATATTTTCATAATTTGGTGCATGCGCAGACGTTTTTCCGCGGTGTTGCTTGTACATGTGGTACATTTTTCGTTCATTAGCCCATACACTTGTACGCACGCGCACCATTCCAAACTCCAATGGCGACTTTTCACAGAGTGATCAAACTATATTTTACACAGTTTCGTTGAATTTTCAAAGAATTGTGCCGGTTTCCTGTGGACATCCGTTGTGTACTTGTGTTAATTTTTGCGTCGCACTCTGGACTTTCTTGCCTGTTGAATTAATGTTTTTCTTTTTGTATTAAATTAAACGACTCGAAAACCCCAAAATTTCATAAATTTATACCCAGGGAATTTATACAATATATTGGAATATAAACAAGGACAAACTCTCCTAATTCCTTACGATAGTGTTAGTCAAATGTGGACAATATACCTTTAAATACATGTATTAAAATCCGCGCAGTACTAAGAATGAAGAGAATTCGCGTAGCGCTGGCCGTTGGGTGCGTACTGCGCGAAATATAATCCGCGCGAAAAGCTTTGTGATAGCTATACTAAAGATAAAGCGTGCCTTCAAAATACCAACAAGAACTAGAACCATTATTGTATGGTTCTCATTTGCTAGACTTGCCACAAGTCAACCTCGAAGAAACGCATTTCGTTCGAGGTCGACTTGTGGCAAGTCTACAGTCTACTCATTTGCCTAATACAATAACATTTAGTTTGACGCGAATTTTAATAGAAGTATGGTATCATATTTCATAATATAACAAACAATGTAAACTTGCCATACATTTTGCCGAACATAACTTCGGCCCCTTTGGACATATTTTTTTCGTAATAATATTATTGGGACCAGAATCGAAAACACGATTTATAGTGTTATTTTCAAGCTTGTGTCTTGGGATTTTCATCTTTTATTTCGGTATTTACAGAATATTTATATTTTTTAGCGCGGCAATCAAAACAACGCGCTGTTTAGGAATAACCGGAAATCGATTCTGTAGGTCGGCATGATTTGCACGTGCATCAATCGAGCTATAAACGTGCGTGCGAGTAAAAACCCGATATTTTGAAAAATTCAAAATACGTATAGGTTATTTTGAGGCAACGAGGGGATATGTGATTTATTCACCGAGGCGCGCAGCGCCGAGGTGAATAAACACATATCCCCGAGGTGCCTCAAAATAACGTACTTATTTTTCACATTGCGAGGTCGCGTTAATGATTCAGAATAGAAATAATTCTTAATGCCATATTGCCTTCGTTATGTTGTTTTTTTCTCATTTTTTGTGCTGCAAAGACATTGCAGGTGAATATTAGAGGGGATTATTAATTGCAGGTGAATATTAGAGGGGATTATTAAACGGAAATTGATTAGAGGGGAATATTGAATATATTCCCCGACAAGAACAAAGGAAACCGAGCAGGGTGAAAAATAAATGTAAATATTCCTACTCTGTGCCGTATTCAAACGAAACTTTGTACATGAAAGCGCTTGAATACAAGATGTATTTTACTCACATTGACTCTGAGCAAATTCTGAAGAGTTACTAAAGAATACTAAAGCAGGGTGCATTGCCTGTTAAATGGGTTAATAAGAGACCAATGTCAGATGTGTTTGTTAGGCCCATTTACTGACAGTACTCTGCCACTAACAAGTAAAATCATCTGGCGTTACAGTGTAAATTGGTCTGGCGTTAGCCAGAGTTAATACTAAATTGCATTGTCAGCTAATAGGTTAATAGACCTTAATGTCCACTTTTGACCCAATGGCTTCATTTTCATGTTGGCTATTTACTCGTATTCCGTGCACACAATTTAAGAATGAGTTTGTGAACGGGCTTAAATGATAAACGAGAAGGAAACATTGGGGATAATATAACCGAGAATTGTCTAGAAGTATAAATTTTTGCATTCAGTTCATACGCCAAAAAGGCAGCACTTTCCTTGCGATAGTAACTATACGCCTCCTTGACAACAGGTAACAAAGACCTTCGGTTTGTGGCCTTCTTCGTTGCTCACAGACAATGGATCGTAGAACATCCCCGATCAATGTGAACCAGGCTTTAGACCGAAAAGGTCTTTTATTTTTTTAAAAAGTCCATAAAATGCATTGCGGTTTAAGATTTGTATTCCTGCCTTTTGCACCATAGCACGTATCTCGTTATTTTCAGGCCAGTGTGAACGCCTGAGCAGGCGTCTTGTTATAATATAGATAACAGCAAGATAAGAAATTATTTTATTACTGGAGATTTGTTGCGTTAAACTTTCCTGTATTTATCTAGTGCATAAATGGAAAAAGTACGAAAAACATATTAAAAATAAAAATATCTTCGTGGAAAAAATGCGTTTTTAGCACATTTTATGACCCACGACTTTACCCACGACTTTACCCACGACACACGATTATTAACCCACGACACACGACACATAGGGACACTCCCTAATGGCATGTACACGAGACCCGAAATCGGAACGATAATTCAATGTGCGCTCGACATTCTCAAATTTCACCCTTCCCATGCGCACGAAAGGAGAAAATAAGAAATAGCGCAAGTCTGAGCGTGCTTACGAATTCCGATCACATTTCCATGCGAACGATTTCCACAATGTTCCGAATCTAGTTTCTTTGATCAAATTATGCAAATATTTAAAACACCCACCGCAACAGGTTTTGAATTTCTGATGCGTTCAAAACATGTGCCGAACTCACGTGCCACGTGCAATGCGGCTTAAACATCCGCGTGCCACAAGTAAGTAGGTGGAATCCTTGTAACCATTAAACTTAGAGATAGCATTTACCGATGAGGACCGAGATTTTTTTCTCCGCAGATCAGGCTCACAAGTCCAGCACAAGATTGCTTCTATTTTTTCGTATACATATATATATACGCGAACAACATAAAACATATACGTGTACAACATATAATATACGTACGATGTTATCCTATCAATTTATGGGAAAGCAAAAGAAACAACAGTACAATCCACTTGGTAATAATTCGGTAAAGATACGGCGCGTTGATAAAGCATTTGAACCGTACCGACAGGCTTTCATCCATGGCGATATACAACAACAGAGTTATATAATCAACGAGTTTGTGTCGAGTTTAGTAGCAGCTGAGTATGCCAAATTAACCGAAGAACGGGGGTATTGTATGGAGAAATGCTTACCAATCGAAGAGATATTTACATGCAATTTGTGTCAAGAGCTATTGCATGTTCCTGTGACGTTAGTATGCGGGCATACATTTTGTTTGGAATGTTTAGGAAACTATGAGCGCGACGGTAGGACAATGTGCCCAGGTTGTGGACAAGAGTCAAATCTTCACTACACATCCAACATCGTTGTACGAGAACTATCGCGAATATGCTTCCCCGAGAAAACCTCCATACGAAACTGTATCGTCGAAGCCAAAAACCTACTCCGCGAGAGAAAAATGGAAGAATTTATGGAGTTAACAAAAAATCTCTTGACAAAATACCCAGAAAACGTTGATCTCTTGCACTTACGTGCGAACGGGTACCAATGCCTGAAAAGGTACAGTGACGCTCTAAATGTCTTAGACTTTGCATGTACACTTGCACCATTTTGTAGTAAAGTTTTATACGCTCGAGGAGAACTGTTGGCAAGCATTGATGAGCCCGAGGAGGCAATGGTAATGTTCCTTCCTGCCTCTGCTTTGAAACCAAACGACCTCACTTACCGCGGTAGATTGACTTCGTATATTGAGAAACCTTTAAGAAATATCTGCAATTCAAGCGAACTGTGTTCCTCCAGCTCGTCCTACAACGCTGATCATGAAGCTACCACCAAAAGAGTATTAAAAGGTTTGCCTGTGAAATCCGAGCCAAATTTCGACGAATCTACCACGACGGCGCAAAATATGTCAAGGAGAAGGCCAGCTTGTATAAGTGAAGATGGTCAAGTTGGACATAGAAATGTAGCAGTTACAATGAACTCAAATGAACATGCTTTTAGAACCGACTCCACTGATCACAGAGGCGACCCAACGTGTAGAACCGACGCAACAGAGAAAACCGTCGATACTTTGATGGATCAAGACCGTTCATGTTATAAAAAAGAAGAAACAAAGAATATCTCACAATGTCAGCGAGTTAGTTGTATTCAGAGAAATATCATAGTCCCACCAAAATCCAATATTCCAAGTGAACTAGAATGTAAACTGTGTTTCAATCTACTCTACGAACCTGTTACCACATCATGCGGCCACTCTTTTTGTCGAGCCTGTCTAAAACGTTGTCTTGATCACCGATTTCATTGCCCGTGTTGTCGGACGAACCTACAGAGCTATCTGGAACATTTCATCATGAAAAACGTGGGAACATGTAAGGTGTTGGAGAGTCTATGTCTGTTGAAGTTTGAGGACGAATATCAAACCAGAAGACTAGCTTACGAAAAAGAACTTTTGGACTTCTCAAGGTAAGATGTCCCATGTTTCATTGTTTCAGAACGCATATTATAATGAGAAATCAGTTTCGTCTCCTGCAAAATATACTGGGTTTAAGTTCTTAAGTGTCCGTTGTCCTAGCTGTAACGACTGGTTGACACTACAGACTACAGTTTCCTTGTTCAAACCAGTTTGTAACAGATTTGAGCTGGTTCCGACCTTGAATTACGGTCATGTGCCAATAAAACTAGCTGAAAAATATATTAAGGAGAATTTCGATGTTTCGAGCGAAGGCCCTTCGGTTTGGAGCCTGGGTCATAATTGCGTTTATATAGAAAATTAGTTCCATCCCATGACTTTAGCACGATCTTGGGTCATGGCTTGCCCTAAACCATGACTTGTTTGTTACACGTAAGAAAGTTCTGAAATTTTCAAAAATGAAAAAATAACCCCCCACCTTGCATGCATGTCGAACTCACGTGCCGCGATGAAAAGCCAGCTCCGCGTGTCATATATAGATAGTCATAGAACGTCTTACGTAACAAAAAAAACAACGAATAAAACACTTACAAAATAGCACAATTAACACTAAAATTCATGCGTGCTTTTTAAAACAAATACTGTCAAAGCAGGCCAAAAGTGCAAAATGTTATGTAATCGGCAGCCGATTATGCATGTATTATCATTGATGATGAATAATTCAAACCATTGGCATTGCTATAAATTCTTGAAATGCTATATGTTAATGACGAATGTTTGTCACGTATTTTTTCAAATAGCATTTAATATTAAAGCTGAATCGGCCCGATTAATCGTTGAAGTAGATCTGTACCTCTGGTGAAGTCGATTGCTAACCTCACATTGTCAAACCGGTTTGGAAAATCAACAAACAAACGGTCTAAAAATAGTAACTCTTCCTAAAACGTGACACGTTTGGAAGTCACGCGACTTTGATTATGGTTGTTCATTAATTAAGCTTTCCCAACGGAAGTGTAGTTGAAATAGTACTGACATCAAAGCTATATTTTCTTAATCTATAGAGCTTGAAATGTCCCCTGTATATAAATAATGCGTGACTCTCATATATCCTCTGACATGCATGGGCTTAATATGTATTTACACATTTCCTGAGATGACAATAGAGTATTATAAATTGAACGGAAAAGTTTAAATCTTTCTAAATTTTATATTAGTACTAATTACCTCAACAAATCCACATTAAATCATACAGAAAACCGAATTCTGTCCTTTTATTGAACTGGTTATTTCGTCAGTGAAGGGTTTAAACTTTAAGGGTTTAAACTGTTCCGTCATTCACGCACGTGTCAAAACAGAAACATGCTCACTCACGTGTTGCGATCACGCGTATGCTAATATTATGGTTATCAAGTATATGGGGGAGGGGCGGCTTGATTGATTAGAACAATATTGGTACACGGCAATTTGAACGGACATCTTGCAAAACATCTGACATATTATTATGACTTTGTTAAACTATAGTCTATAGTCTTTCAAAACATGGTTTGGAAACTCCGCTGAAGTCTTTGTTATATCGTTTTGTTCGCGTTTATGCTGTTTTGTGCACGGTGCACGGTCAATGAACACATTGTATTTCAGTATAATGAAAGAATCATCCAATAGCAACGTTACAGTTCAGTCATTCAACCGTGCTATTTAATTGCTATTTAATTGCATTGAGTTGCAAACTCAACCGCTGATGAGTCGATGTAGTAAATAAGGAGGTATAATATGAAACTATATATAATTCTCTTTATTTCATTTCTTATAGATGCGAAAGCAACAAGGATGAGATACCGATATTCGTATGCACACTGGCAGTGCCTGACATTGCTTGTCCTCTGCATATAATTGAACCTCGCTACAAGCTCATGATACGGCGGTGCATCGAAAGCGGTTCGCGACAATTTGGCATGTGCGCTCCAGATCCCGAGCAAACTTTTGCGACGGTTGGAACAATGTTACATATAAACGACGTCAATTTCTTGCCCGATGGAAGGTCTGTTGTTCATACGGTTGGCAGCAGGCGCTTTCAAGTTTTGGAGCGAGGGTTACAAGATGGCTACAACACTGCCAAGGTTGCTTGGCTTCAGGATGAGTGTGATGAGAGCGACTACACTAAACTCAATTGCGAAGTCTACAACATGATGACGCAATGGTTTGAAAAGCTACCGAGTGAGCAGAAGATATGCATTGTGAAAGCGGTTGGGCGGTTGCCTGATGCACTCCAGGGAACAAATGAGAATGGCCCCAGCTGGTTATGGTGGCTGTTGGTTGCGATGCCTTTGAACCACGAGGCAAAACACATCATCTTGTCTATGACATCGATCACTGAACGTTTAAACAGTGCAAAACGCTTCTTAGCAATATTGTTAAGCCGACTGTAACGGACAGAGGAGCACTCAACAACGAAATTTTGATTTGGTCCCTGGTGATATTGCGCTATTACATTTAATACCCCCCTCCCTCATGTCGAGGACCTCGACTGATTAGTAATTTTGGGAAATCAAAGAAAATGGGGGGAATGCTGTTTCTGAAGGGTTTAAAATTCAAAAATGCTTTTTCCAGAGGGGTTCAAGTCTCTCAAATCTCTTTTCCAGAGGGGTCAATTACATGCACATATTTGTTTGCATTCCTGAGGGGTAAAACTCCCAAAGCAAAGGTCCTCGACAGGGGGGTTTGGTTTTTAAATGCAATAACATCACTTTGCCGGGATCATAAGCTGATAGTTTTGTATAGCACAATATTATAACGCAGATTTTATAGATTAATATATATATATTAAGAAACGATATAGATTTAGTTGACAACAGCGCGTTGTTCAGTTGCTAATTCAAAGTTAAAAGATGAACAAAATGATTGACTATTATTTGATAATGAATTAAAGATCCAAACTGATTACTTATGTTAAAACTGTAATATTGAAATATATATTCTTGTATTGAAAGACAATGTGTATCACGTGTGTTTAAATCTAATTTCTAACTGTTTTAGCCAGGCAATTGTTAATTGATAAAAGGAGAATATTGCGAATAGTAGCCTGCGTGGCAGGCCCTCAATTTTATGGGGGGCCTGATTTGCAGCGGGCAGGCCAAAATCCTGCCAACTGCAAATCAGGCCCCCCATAAAATTGAGGGCCTGCCACGCAGGCTATTATATAATACCTTATTGAATTCTGAACGTTTAATTGGCTGTTTATGGTCACGTGATATTGAATAGAAAATTCCATTTCCCAAGAGTGCAATGGAAAACGTTCCATTGCACTCTTTGCGAGTTCAATTGTACTATACGTTTTATTGCATTGCACTCTTTGTGTTTTCGATAAATCGCATCCGTCAAAATGCTTCCGTCATCATTCAAAATCGCATCCGTCAAATTCCATCTTTCACCTCATGAAAATATTCTTACCATTGCACTCATAAACATTCATTATTTGTATAATAGTCGACGCATGTGAACTTAACTATCTGTTCTGTTAAATTGCTAACTTTCACTTGTTTAAATAGTTATTTTAAGATTGTTGCAATTTTTATTCCCATGCATAGATAAGTCAGAAATAATTTGCCCAAAACTAATTGGGATAAGTTCTGACGCGCATGTAAAGACGTTTTATGAGCGCAAAGTTTACACTAGTGCGCGCATATATTCATGATTAGCGGGAAACTGTACATGAAATGGTTACAGGCCTACAGGGAACAGCATGAACGTCCTCGAGTACACACTTGTTTTAGTTATAAATTGTTTTATTTTCTCATTTGAAAGAACTTTTAAGACTGTATATAATATTTTACCGTTCTATCTTGCTTACTTCTACCATGGATAATAAAATAGATGAATAGGAAACTAGCTGACGTGACCTAATGTTTTCAATGGGCTGATGGCGTGGTTGGATGTTCAAACCTAATTGCAAACCAAATTCTCAAAAACGGCATGTTTAGCAATAATACAGCTAAACATTTTAGTCAAAGAGCAAATAAATATAACTACGCCATTCTATGATGAAATCTCTAAGTATACCCAGTCAATTTTAGCAAATATTTCAAGCACTGAACAGTGAAAAATGCATCGCAAATTTCGTTAAAATTGGCGACGCCAATTTCGTAGCTACAAATGTCAAATGTAAAAAAATACAAAACAAAGACGAAAAACATTTACCTTGAATACTTTGTCGTGGCTTAGGCATGTTTTTAAAACAATTAGACCAGTTTATGCTTCAATATTACTCTTTTAAAGCGGAAAATATAGCGAAACAACGAAAATGCTGAGAACTTTGGCAATGCGCGTGACGTCACAGATTGCAACTAGGTTTAGACTGTGACGTCAGGAAGTTTCCTATATCCAGTTATTTTACAATCCATGCTTCTACAAATCTTTTGATCGAAAGGAATGAAATGTAACCATCTTCAATTGATGTAGATAGGCATATTACGTCACAACAGGGGTCACGCAATATTTTTATCTAGACAACCACTGATCATTTTGCATTCGAAACTACAGGGTGTATCAAAAAAAACTGAACAGATTTAAAATTGTTCTCAATTTCGCAAAACAGCTATTTGTATCCGGTTTTTTAAATATATAGCCTCTTTGGGTACTTATAATGTAGAATAATGAGAAAAATTTCTCGAACTCAAATTTTGTGAACCAGGGGGGGGGGGGTGTCTTTTCCAACAAACTAAAAATGGCTCGCGCACAAAATTTAAAAGCAGCAATCATATTTTGAGTTAACAGATGGAAAATTTGTCAGGTTTTTAATTACTGTATAAAATTTCAGACAATTTGGTTTAGTTTAAGCCCCTTAACTATTCACGCAAAGTTACATTTTTCCTAAAAATCAGCTATTTGCATGCTTAATTAATGCATTTGCCTAATTTGCATATGTTTAGCAATATGCAAATTAGGTAAATGCATTAATTAAGCATACGAAAGGCTGATTTTT